GATATCATATAAGATATTTTTACTCGATTAATGTTCGTCTGTATATACTATCTATTTTCATATTTATAATTTTTTTAATCGTTGAATGACGATTTCATTGGGTTGGTGCAAAATAGGTTTTGAAAAGGCAGTCAAAACTATTTTTTTAATTTGTATAAAATAAAAAAAATTTATTCGAAATATTTTCCATCACAATTTATACATCTTTGCCAACGTGTAATAACCGCTTTATTCCACTGTCATCAGAATTTTTATTTCAGCTCACAATAGTCTTGGAAGGCGATTTCGGCTTCACCGCGTTCTCTAAAACTTTCATCTCTCAAGAAGTGATAAAAATACCTAAAAAAGTGGAATTCTGTAGCTGTATTTAAGTTTCTGCAGGGTTGGTATTGCGACAAGTGGCCTGGCGTTATCGTGAAGAAGAATCGGCTCCTTACGGTTTACCAATGCTGGACAAAGACGTTGCAGTTTCCTGTACATTTTGTCAATTTCTTGGCAGCATTTCTCTGCTATGATAGTTTCACCATAATTTAGGAAATTATAGTGAACAACCCAGTAGTACACCATCAAACAGTCACCATAAACTTTTTTTGGTGCAGATTTGGTTTTGGGAAGTGCTTTGGCGCTTCATCCGTGTCGAACGAATGACCTGTACGCTTCCTGTTATTGTACAGAATCCATTTCTCATCGCACGCGATGACTCGATCGAAAAATTGATCATTTTGGTTGCGCAACAGAAGAGATGTTCAAATTTCAAAGCGTCGATTTGTTTGCGCTTCGGTTAGTTCGGGCGGTACCAACTTGTCGAGCTTCTTTTCTTTACCAATTTGCTCCAGATGGCGAACAACGGTAGAGTGGTCAGCACTAAGCTCTTCCGCAATTTCCCTTGTTGTCTTACGTGAATTTTCTTCAATCGACGTTTTTAGTCGTCCACAACGGAAATCCTACCGCGACCTTCCCTGTCTTCAAGATCTCTGAAAACATCGCTGCACCGTGCATTCGCTAATATTTCCCTCCCCCCAAACTGTATTGATATTACACACGGTTTGACCGCACTTTGTCTAAGTTTAAGTTCGTACAAATAAATTTGACGAAAATCTAGTTTGGACATATTTACTTTCGCAGGTCCTCACTCTTATAAAATTCAACATAAACAAAAATGTTTTGTATAAAAGGTAACAGTTAAAAGTATTCATTATAATCCATAAAATAGATTTGATTTAGCTTAGTTTACATGACAACCACCTGTGAAAATAAAACAAATTTTCAAAACTTGCATTAACAAGCACCAACCCAAAACAATAAATAAGTTTAGTCAAAGAAGGCATGATAAACCCAGAACAACTGAATCGCAACATTCATACAATTATTTGAACCACTTCTCATGGTCCAATGCCATGAACCAGCTTCATTCTGTGCAAAAAATGCTTCAGTTTAATTATTTTAATTGTTTTTAATTTTTTGGTACGTAAACAGTAACTACCCCCTCAACTTGAAAAAATACGGTGAAATTTATGCACAACAGGGATAAATTAATTCTGCAGCTCATTTTTATTGATATAATAATAAGTCAGCTTAACAGTATTAATGAACTAAAAAACATGAGCAAAACAATTCTTGCAATTATTAAAAATGTACTTTTTCCACTCTTGTACCGTTCTTTGCATGCAAACCGGCTGAAAATATCAAACATTATTGTCACTTAAAAGTCGACTTTTTAAAAAATGAAATTGCCTTGTCTTAATTTAATGCAAGTTTCGTTCACCTTGATAGCCGTATGTTGAAAGGTCAGCCGAAGGTTCAATGAAACCTCTTCGCGGATAATTGGAATCCACCGAGGAACACGGTGGATTTTTTTTTTTTTGTATTTAGATTGAAATAAATATCCTCTAGAGTGAAAATGAACCGAAATTCTTTGTAAATGTCCAGGAGATATATTCCAATTATTAGATAATGTGACTTCTCTTCACTTGAGTGTTCTTTTCTAATATATAGCCTTGGTAAAAGCTTGTTCAGGCTGAATATCATTATTTAATTGGGTTATATTAGATTTAAATGAAAAAATTTACTCAGTGTGAAAGATCCAACCAGGCAAATAAAATCAAGTAAAACCTGGTTTAATTAATTCCATTGTTCAAATCTCATGATTCAGAATAGGCCGATCAAGCATGAATGATGTCGAGAGGCGTTGGACTTCATTAAGATTCAAGCTCGGAGCCAAAAGGCCTTAAGGCCCGATAAAACACACTAATCTAGTAATGGGTTACTCACCTAACCCTATTCTCATTTTCTCATTGTCGTTTATTGAATCAACACAATTACCACGGTTATAAATTATGACCGTCCGCTCCGAGTGAATTGTCCACATCAGACATCGATTAACACGTTCATTCAGTGAAAACTTTGAATGAGAACGAATGTTTATACAGTGGGATTGTTTACTTTCTCAGAAAATTTTAATTAATATTTTTAATATGAAAGACTGAGACAGAAGAGGGAGAGATTCCACAAAAAAAATAAAATATAAAAAATAAACGTTTCAATAATTGTCAACATTTTGATTTGGAAATCAGAACGGTTGTTGTTTAATCATCCCAAGGAATTGAATGTGGTGATTAGTTCCCAATCAAACGTGCAATTTCATCCGATCAAGACGAAGACTTCGTTTCTGTCGGCGTTCAAATCTTCGAAAGTCGTGCTCGTCCGACTTTTATACTCTACTATAAAGTTCCTTCGGCTTGAAAACCGTTCAACAAAACGAATTTAATATTACTAAACTTTTTCCCTTTTTAGAAAAAGTATTTTATATTCCGTTGGTGTTATTTCAAGAGAGCCTCAAATTTTATCGTATTTCAAAAAACTCCTTTTTTTTCTCAAAGGCTATTCCGCCTCTTATAACCTGTTTGGTTGTATTTGCCTTAGTATTCTACAAAATCGTAGATAATAGGTTTTTGCAAATAGTGGATCGTTAATTTTTGGCAAACAATCTAAATTTGAGGCAAAATTTATTCCTTAATTAACCCTCGTTCGATTATTGGCGTATTATTGTTCTACAAAATGATAATAGAATCGTTTCAATATGGAGAAAAGTGTTCCGAAAAGTGAAAACATGCCGCAGTGAGGCCAAAAAGTTGCCACATTTCGGCACCATTTTATCAAAATCTATTCGGTCTTTTTTTCTTGTATTTTCTTTAGTGCTGTACAAAATCGTACATAATAGGTTTTCGAAAATATTGAATCGTTAAATTTGGCAAACAATCTAAATTTGTGCCAAAATTGTATTCGGTTTCCATTTTAAAGAAAAATGATTTCTCCGTTCCTGTTTGATTTTTAAAAAGCACCGCTCTCTTCGAGTTAAATTCCATTATTGCTCTATAAAATGCCAATATAGTCGTTTCAATATGATGAAGAAGTTTGGAGAAAAGTGTACCGAAAAGTGAAAACAAGTAACTTTTCGGGAGAAACCAAAGAGGTCAAAAAGGTTCCATGTTTCGTTACCATTGTCTCAAAATCTAGTAACTCTATAACAAATTCAATTAATTAAGGTTTTTTTTATCTCAACTAAAAAAACCTTAATTAATTGAATGATATTAATCGGTCAAGCGGACCACGAAAAATAGTGAATCTATGACAAATAATATTTTTGTTTTATTACCCTTTGTATTGCGATGAATTCATAGCTGGAGGCATTTAAGAAATTTGACTTTATACTTTTTGGCATCAACCTAAAGTTTTAAATGTTTATACAATTCTTTTATACAAAAAATATTACCTCTCCTGGGTGTGTTTTAAACAAAACTTCTCGCTACGATTGTTTGGCTATTATTTCTCTACAAAATGAAAAAATGATCGTTTCTTATGATAAAGGGTTTTTGAGAAAAATGAATCGATATATGAAAAGATACGACTTTTTGAAGGAAGCCAAAAGTTTACGTTTTTCGATCACATTTGTCCAAAATCTATTCGGTCTATTACAATCTTTTTTTTAAATTTCTCTTAGTACACTACGAATTGATAGCTGGAGACATTTAAAAAATTTGACTTGATATTGTTTGGCATCAATCCAGTTTTAAATTTTTTCAACTTTCTTTTAAACATAAAAAAAGTTCCTCCGCTCCTGGGTGAGTTTTTAAACAAAACTCCCTATTTTCCTAAGTACACTACGAATTCATAGCTGGAGGCTTTTAAATAATGTGGATAATATTTGGCTTCAACCTAAAGTTTTAAAGGTTTATACAACTTTACACCTTTTCGTTTATAGAAAAAAAAAATGCTCCGCTTGATTTAGTAGTAGTTTTAAACAAAACTCCTCCCTGCGATTGTTTGTCTATTATTTCTCCACAAAATGAAAAATGATCGTTTATTATGATAAAGGGTTTTTGAGAAAAATGAATCGATATATGAAAAGATACGACTTTTTGAGGGAAGCCAAAGAGAGGCCAAAAAGTGGCCATTATCCTAAAAATGTATTTACTTTATTAGAACCAATCTTTTTTGTTTTATTTCGCTTAGTACACTAGAAATGCATAGCTGGAGGCGATTTTCTGATCGAGCTCGAATTTTCTCCGTTGCAGTCGATTAGTTCAAGAAAACGTTAGGATTCATCTTATAATAGTTGTTTTAACTGCGAAAATAGATTTTTGACACAGAATGTTCTTAAAATACGAGTCTTCAAAAATCGTAAGGAATAGTTGGATCTTAGAGATGGATTTTTTGGTAGAATTGTTGCAAGTTCATCAAGACAAGATTTACAAGAACACTTGATTCCTGACTTTCAGAAAATTATCTAAAGCGTTTTAATTTAATAATGTAAGAGAAATAGTTAAATAAAATCAATTTTTTAGTGCGAAAAACGGTCGCTACTCTCTTAAAAATTAAATGTTAGATGCAAGCAAAGATTGCTTTAAAATTTGGCGGTAATATTGGAGGAAAAAATTTCAAATAATAAAAATGGTTGTTTTGTTTTCGTAAAATATTAATATTTGATTTTTTGATTTCAGAAATAGACGAGTGTGCCTCAGCGCCTTGTCAAAATCGGGCCACGTGCGTGGACCTGGTCGGTGGCTACGAATGTCTTTGTCCCAGCGGTTGGGAAGGATCTATCTGTCAATATGGTAATAATTGTTTTATTTATTTATTTTTTAATGAAAATATGAACCAAACAGCGTACATAAATTAATCAGTGAAGATAGGCAATATGATCGATAACGGCCAAAGTTTTCTTTTGTTTTGGATTTGATTGTAATGCGACCTTTCTTAATAAACACCAATGTTTACTCTTTATAAAGTTTCTACTAAACTCTAATCCAGACTTAGTTGAGTTTTAAATGGTGGTTCAAAAATTGTTAGTGTTGAACATCCAGTTTCCTCTAGTTTGCTTTTGTCGTGGCGCATTGGCTGTACAGAAGACAATTTTGTTTTTAAATTTCATGGTGACGTTACTATAAATTACCTCTGTATCAAATACAAAACGCCAAAAATGTGCATTTTTACTGTTACCAATATGTTCATTGATTTCTATCCTCTTCCTTCCCTTTCCACCTAAAAACAGAACAGTTCTATATAGAATCATCACGTGTGATGAAAAATGAGGCATGTGACTCCAGATGAAAAAATTTTAGGTGTTGTTAAGGGAGACTTCCAAAAATATTTTAATATTATGATGATCATGAGGAGGAGGAAGATTCTAGGAAGCAGAGTTTTGGAATTCCCCAAGCACTGCAGCTTTGCGGCTTAGTGTAGTTTTACTAGTTAGTTCAGTTCAATTAACTTGTTCCTTCTTCTAAGAAGTAGTAGGTCATTAACTATCATTCTTTTTCTTAAGTCTTCTGGTTATTCTAGGTTATGTCTGTTAACAGTTGCCTTTGCTATTTCCAAAGCACTGCAGCCTTTTGGTTATTGTACTTTCCCTAGTTCTTTAGTTCATTTCAATTGACTTGATCCTTCTTTTAAGAATTAGTAGGTCATTGCTAGAATTCGTTTTCTCAAGCCTTCATGATACCCCAGGTTATGTCTACATTGAGCGATGGCTTCACATTCGAAGATGATATGGGTGGCTTTTTTTTCTTTCAGTTTCTTCCTCCTTATTGCCTTCTGAAAAGATAATTCTACTCACAGAAGTTTTGGGCATCTATCCGGATTTTGAGTATTAAGTAAACAATAATATAATAACAATAAACATGTTACACATTTGTTTGTATATTCTGCCTGATGATTAATACTTAATACTGGAAATCCGAATAGCTCTCTAAAATTTATGTGAATAGGACTATCTTATCCAAAAAGTGAATTGCCAGAGTCGCCCCACCTGAAATCATTTCTAAACTTGGGGTTGTCGAATATGCCCATGTCTAGGCATATTCTCAGTGACTGGGATAGGGCCCTATCACTCCTCTGAGCTGTACTTTGCCCTAACTATGGTCTAACTATGAGTTTACTATGTCTACAATCTCTAGTTCGTCCAGAACTCCTTTTTGTCTGGACCTATTCACAGAAGAAGAAATCAGATCTTTACATCGCACAAATAGGGCCTATGGTCTTTCTCTGGCCACCTTGTCAGCTTGTTCATCAACCAAAATTCCCTTCTTCCTTGACATCCAAGATATTGCCAGGTTGTTATGTAGAAGGATTGAGTTGATTATATTGAACTAACAAACTAGGAAAAGTACGATACGCAAGAAGGCTGCAGTGCTTGGGAATCATAACCCCCCATACCTAGGGATTCATCATCATCAATGATCCATATCTTAGGTCTTTACTGCCTGGTATGACCAGTATGTCATTAAAATTTTAAAATAAACTATATTTAAATGGCCTGAACCTTTGTCATTACACACCATGAATTGTGAAACGCTGCTCTTCAAATTCCATTTTGCAATACTTTTTCGTTAAATCGAATAAGAAACAATGATTGTTATGTGGATTTTCCAGATGTTGATGAATGCGCCAAGGACTGGTGTATTAACTCTTACTCATGTCAGAATTTGGCTGGTGACTACAAATGCAAATGTCAAAAAGGTTGGTCAGGGAAAAATTGCACGCTCAACATTAATGATTGTGTCGGCCAGTGTCAAAATGGAGCCACCTGCATCGACTTGGTAAACGACTACCATTGTGCTTGTGAACCTGGATTTACCGGTAAATTTTTTAAACATACAATAGCATATTAACTATTTACTATGATTTATGAATATTTATTTGTGAAGTAAAGATTGGAACTAACAAGTTAACTGATTTTATTGTTTCACAAGTCAAACCACCATTTTATATTAATACTGTTCTTGTATAAATTTGATAAATAAATGTCCAGTGGATGATGGATTTTGGTCTACGAGTTGGTGAACTCTTGTTGAACTGGCACACGGCCACTTGTTGGGTCTATCTTCACTCGCGTTTTTTTTTTGTTTTTTGAGTTATTCAAATGTGTTTCGACATTGTGCCATCTTCAGTGAGAAACTGTCTGCCTCTTTGTCTGAGTATGGTTTATATAGTATTGGGTCCGTCATTTGTGGCTAGGGGATTTGCAATGCCGAAACGCGTTTGAATAATTCAAACAAAAACCCGTGAGTGAAAATAGGCCCAATAAGTGGTCGTGTGCCGGTTCAAAATAAATTTATAGTTATGCTTCGATCTTAAGTCTTCGGTGGTAAAATAATTTGGATTTTTTCTAGGTCGTAACTGTGCTACTGATATTGATGACTGTCAGAGTAATCCATGCCAAAATGGCGGTGAATGTGTCGACCAGGTGAACAACTTCCGATGCATCTGCCCAGTCGACTACATGGGTGAATTCTGCGAGGTAAACTTCAATTCAAGATGTAATAACTATTGTATTAGCACTGAGCAGTTGCTTTATATAAACGACTGATTACTGATTTGTATAAGCTCAGATCCGCACAAGTATGTAGATATACATATACGCACAGTTGAGCTTGTTATTTCTCGCAGGACACTAGCAACTACAGATTTAGTAATTTACAATAAATTACCGGATTTTCCTTGAGAATCGCCCACACCAAGTGTTGGTAGTCTGAGGTCATACCTCGGTCTTATATGTCCAGCCACCGATTTTGAGTCAGGGGCTATCAACAGTTGGGTCATTCCAGCCCACAACGTGGTCAGTTCCTAAATCCAAACCCATTCAACTCTCACTCACTCTTAAATACATTATTTCTTATTCATATACCATTCACTCAGTTAGGCGGAGTTCTCGATATTCCCCCATCACCCTCTACACATGATGTACTTACTACACTACAGGCAAAAAATTCCACCCACTTGTAATAAAACTTGATTTGTATATATTTTTATATATTAATTAAAGTTTCACGGTTTTTAACGTTTAATAATATTGAGTCTTTATCTAAAAAGGTAAAAAATAATGTAAATTGCTAAGGAAAATGGAAAAAAAGACTGACATATAATTTTTTTTTTGATTTTTAATTAACTTTTCAGTATCGCATATTTCCTCCTCTTGTCTTAATTACATCTTGAACACGCCTTGGCTTACTTTCTGCCAGTCTGGAAATGTCTCTTTGCTGGAGGTTAGCCCGTTCTTCATGACGAGTCCTTTCAAGATTGTGGAGTGCATCAGGAAGTGATGGACGTGCTCTTATTCGTCTTTTGAGGTTATTGCATAAATATTTGATGGGATTCAAGTTTGGAGAACGGGCTGGCCAAGCTAAGACCCTGATGTTGTGCTGTTGAAGGTATGTTAGTACTATGCGAGCGACATGTGGACGGTCATTATCGTGCACTAGAATAGGATTGTCGTTATTTCATCGTGGATACGCAACACATGATGTTCCAAAATTTCATCCAATAGCGAGTGGCCGTCAAAGGCTGTCCATGAACAACAACTAACTCTTTGAAACTCTCCATTCAAATTCCCGCCCACACCATCACTGAGCTACTTTGAAAAGGTTGGCTCTGGGAAAAATTAGAAGCTTTGTACCTTTCATTTCCCCTTTTCTACACTTTTCCATGCCCATCTGGAGATTGTAGAGCAAATCTACACTCATCTGTAAACAGTACAGCAGACCAATTGTCTAAAGACCAATGGCCGTACAACTCTGTGTGTTCTGGTCAATTCTGGTCCTCTTATGGGGCAAAAAGCCATGAATGCATACTGATTTAATCTTCTTTGAGCAGTGCATTTTTGACACAGACTTCCTGGAGCTGATGAATTGCTTGAACAACAGTAAGGTACTGGTTTCACGGTCTTCCTGTGGTTCTGTTACTTTAGGGCGTCCAGAACCAGGTCTTCTAGGTAGAACCCAGTTTCTCAAACACGTTTAACAGGTCTCGCAACTCCCTTGTTTCATCCTAACTCCGATGGCAATAGCCGCATACCTGATGGAATGTCCAAGTGCCAAATCATGTGCAACATCCTCAATACGTTAAGTTTAAAACTTGAAATTAAGAAAACAAAGATGAAAACTAAACACTTTATTGCTTCAGAATTCAAATGAGACTGAATAAACATTTTACATTCCATAAAAAGTAAACATTGAAAAATCCTTTAACCTTGTTTTGGATTAAGGATTAAGTGTGTTTACCTCTAATTGATATTCCCAATTTAAAACAGCATAAACAAATGTTTATTGGTAAAAACAATGAGACAAATTAAGGACATAATTTTCTTTTATCAAGAAAAAAAATCAATTGGGTGGAATTTTTTCCTTGTCACTGTATATAAATAACCTAATTGAGGGTCCAAAATTCCACCATCGGCCCTCTCAAATTACACTTTCGCACCAATAACACCATTCACTCTCAACATACGCTAGGGACAGAAAATATCACTAATGTATACAATAAAATAACCCTTTTTCCTTCAAGAATTGGGACAGGGGATACAGTACTCAAGCACAATTTTAATATCAGGTGGCATTCCTACGAGCTCTCTGTGTGGAGGCAAGGAATTATACCCTTCAATTAAGTGGGACAAAGAGCAACCGTTCTCTACAAGCTAGGCTTATACGCGGGATTTGACTCGATAGTAAGTGACCATGTGTCAACCTCGCATGCCCTATTCTTAATTGGGTGAGGATGACCCCTCTTCTATGAGACAGGTCTTCTGAGGGCCACTTATCAACAGTGCTCTTGATACGCAGAAGCTTCTTTGTTAATCCAGCCAACAAAGCTGCCACTTTTTTTAATCATGTTTTTTATTAAATTTTTAGCATCATGGATCCACATTGTGGTGGTTGGGTCACCCAAGTAGTACATAAACTACTCAAGTCAGATATATTTATTTAAACAATCAATCTTCAAATGATTTTATTGTTAAATTTACAGATTGACCATGACCACTGCACTCCAAATCCTTGTGAAAATGGGGCACCGTGTTTTAAAACACAAGCAGATTATTACTGCCACTGTCCACAAGATTGGCAAGGGAAAAACTGTTCAATACCTAAAATTTTCTGTTCTCACCCACCATGCCAAGGTAAATATTTTATTTTCAGTGCACATTTATATATAAGTCAAATGAGAATAATGTGCGATGTAAAATTAATGGTTTTGTAGTCAAAATATCAGGGATAAGGTCAATTCGAAAGAAAATAAAACACTTAGTTCCTTTGTCATGCTTTCAAGGAATCTATCTTCATAAGGACTTTAAAAATGTTACTAGTATTTTTTCACAAGGTTAACAAATAAAATGTACTTCTGAAACTTATGAACAAGTTCAAAATTAGCCCTATCCTTTTTTTTCCACAAAACTATTATATTAAACAGTATTTAAAGATCGTGAGATGCAGTCTAGTATGATGTAGGTTAGAAAAACATTGTCTTTGTTGTGCCATTGTTTCTATCTTTATTGAGATCATCTTCAAGGTCTGGGATTTATAAACATTGTTTCAATTATACAAATACATATCACTTATGAATATGAATTTAAACAATGATGTACACAATATAGAAATTTTAGGTTTAATCAAAGTTTTGTACTCACTCTGAGTGTGTGTTTTCTGTGTAGTCGTGTGTCTGTAATGAGTCGTGTTGAGAGTGTTAGTGAGATTTTAATGTTTTTTGTTTATGTTTGATTTTGAAGGAGTGGGGAAGGAGGTAGGAGTAGAAATTGTTTTTTCTATCTGCACTTTTTTCTCTATCCCTTTCCTACTCACTACTTCTTCAAAATCAAACATATAAACAAAAACATTAAAATCTCACAAACACTCTCAACATGACACACACAGGAACATGACTACACGGAAAACACACAGTTTGATTAAACCTAAAACATTCTATAATGAAGATGATCTCAGTAAAGATTGAAACGTTGGCACGATAAAGAAAATGGTTTTCTAACCTACATCACACCACACTGCATCTCACGATCTTTAAATAATCATTAATTAATGGTCACTAAACATTACACTTAATATTAAACGTTCAATTATATCAACATAAATTCAATTCTTAAAAATTTGCATGTCCATACCATTTTCTAATCTTAACACCTTCCATACAGCGCTTATTAGCAACTTCTTTTCCTTTAATATTTCTCAGTAAGTATTATTTCCTCTATTTCAATAATTTCATTTTCATTCTAGCCAAGATGTTTGCTCCTGGTTCAGGAGTTTATTTTACATGGTGGCGAAATTCAAGGGTTACTTCAGGTATAGGCTTGAATTAAAATTGATATGTTTTAAATGCGCCATTGACAAAAAGCAATTTGTTTTTCTTGTTTACTTTGTGAAAGGAATTAAATGCTTGTGATTGTAATGCACGGCAAAATAAATGTGCAAAATTAATAGTGAAATCTTCCTTGAAGGATTGGAAAGCTTAACTAACTCTATAGTTCTTTCTTTATTATGTCAAGTTTCCACAGTTTCATTTTTTTCTCAACTTTGCTTGTACAAATTTGTAGCATCTTACTTTCTGTAAACCAAGGCAGGTTCATTTATACTATGTTGATTCATTAACTCATAGTCTTAAGTGGTTCTTCATTCGATATTTCCATTTGTTTTCTATTCCATATGACACCAGGGTCTCCTGTTCCAAATACCCTCTGATATATCCTCTGGACTTATCTATCAGAATGGTTCTATCAAGTCTGACAAGGATCAGATTTCTCCAGCTATTCTCTGGCTGCAGGAATTCTGTTGGACCAAATTATTTATACCACAGATACCCCAATCACATCGAGATGTAGATGTAAAATTTTGGGTAATTTGAGCCCTTGTATTCACTGTTTTGTACCTATGGCCCACCAATCCCAACTTATCAAGGAATTTGATTATTAAGCCTGGTTTTCGGTATTTCTTCTACAGTGTTGGGTCTCTTCTGTTACTTTGCAGTATCTGCACATACCGTGTTGGTTGATACCAATCTTCCTCAAGTGCCAATTTAGTCTGCAGTAGTAATTCTCTTCCTGCTTCCTTTGATGCATTGTACTGTTTCTTTCTAAATCTCTCCAGGAGGTTTTTGGATTGTTCGTGTCCACTGAGTTCATTTCCACAGTTATACCATGTCTTCTTTCCTAAGATACTCATTATAAATAACATTAGTAGGCAAGGGCATCTGCTTCTTTTGCAATTCAGCACCATTCTCCAACTAATGATGTTTGAGTTTATTGATCTGATGTCTACCTGGCTATCCAACATGATAGCTATGTTTTTGTGTTGATTTGCCCATAGGCTAGATTTTGGAACAAATACACTGTATCTTCTTGTGTTGTCGTCTTTGTGTGCAGGCGAAAGAAATCATCTGTGAAATAACAGAAGGTGCACGATCACTCTCACTGGTGGGTCAGTGAACTAGATTTGTTGTGCATAGCTGCTTGTATAAAATGAATGTACTTGCATGTAATTCAATAGTATGTAGTAATACTTAAAAAACTATGCTGATACTATGAAACTTTTATTGCATAAAGTTTTGTAATAACACCCAGATGAACGGTTTATTTGCAATTATATTTAATGACAGATATCTAAAGGTGTCTGTTAATGATTAACAATCATGTTTTATTCTAACAAATTCATCCAGTTAGACAGTAAAATGATTACTTTTATCCAGTAAATAAAAATAAATTTATGGTTTTGTTGAGGTTGTGAAATAACCTTTGTCTATAAAATCAACAACAATCTCTAAATGTTTTATTGATTAAAGATGATCACACAAAAATTATGATTTTGTCATAATATCATTTCAGTGACAGTGGACAGCTGTGTCATAACTATGCCATCGAACTCTTCTGGTGGTTTGTCTCTTGTGGCAACGGGGGTTTGCGGTGAGCATGGCCATTGCTATAACTTGCCTGGAGGTGGATTCAGATGTTCTTGTGAAGCTGGCTACACAGGAAAATTCTGTCATGAAAGTGAGTTTATAAATTTGTTTGATTTTTTCTGAGATCATTTATTCTTGATTTTTTTTAAAGATATTAATGATTGTAAGCGAAACCCTTGTCAGAATGGAGGAACGTGTGTGGATAAAATCAATTCTTTTCAATGTATTTGTCGTGAAGGATGGGAAGGAGACTTATGTACTATTAGTGAGTAACATTTATTTTCTAAAGTTTATTTATAATTGGCTATTTTAGTTGTTTCTATGACCCTATTGTCCTTATAACTCCATTTCAACCTGGCTTCCAAAAATGTTATAGTTGTTAGACAGCTTTTCTCAAAATCTCAGATGACATCCTCCTAAGCATTAATGATCATGAATGTACTATTACACTGGACTTTCACCCTGAAGGGTTGTCACTTCCCAATGTGCTGACCCAAGGAGCTATACCTCAGGGGAGTTCACATAAGTTATGCAGCAGGGTGGGTCGCTAGTATCTCCCTCTTAAGCCAGATGCCCATGAGACCGTGGCTTCTCAACTAACAGGGTTAGGCTCCAACAGGACTGTTGACAGCAGGCCATTTCAGCCCCCAAACACTTGCAATCTATAATGTAGCCTAAAACTAACTAAAGTCCATAATATGGTCAGTCGCATAAATAAATTCACTGAGAGGCAAAAAAAAAAAAAAATGGCCACCCTTTTTTCCTTCAAATATGTTACTATGGAAACAATGAAGAAAATATCCAATTCAGTATGGAGTATTTCTTCCTCTTGCATTTTTCACTGCTTGCATTCAATGTCTCATCAATTTTATGAGGTTTTGAATGTAGTGCTTTGGAATATTTTCACACTCATACAACGGCGCCATTCTTAATTCCTGCAAATTGTCCGGCATCACTGGGCAACGTTTTACCCTCTTTGACAACTTGTCCCAAAGGTCTTCGATAGGTATAAAAGTCGGGACTACCCACTGGCCACTCCAAACATTGAATTGAAGCCCGTTACAAGTAATCATCAAGGATCCTAGCTTGCATTGCCATGCATAAAAATAAAATCGTCACCAATTAGTGGTATATAAGGAACAACTTCTGATGAAACATCTTCAATGTATTGTGCAGCTGTTAGGGAACCCTCGATGAAGCTCAATTTTGTGCGAACTTCTATAGAAATGCCTGCCTAAACCATAACATCACCACCTCCATAGCTTCTCCAAAGTGAAAATGTTGTGGGGATATGTCACTCTCCAAACCCTCTCTTGCCCATCAGAAGACCTCAAACAATACCTGAAAACAAGATTTCAGACCAATTGATGTGATTTCTTGCAAAATTAATAGATCTGTTCTGTGCCTTGTCAGAGTTCTGGACCAGCTGCAGGCCTTCTCACATGTAATCCAGCTTCTGAAAGTCTTTACCTTTCAATGTGTAAACTGACACATTGAATAATCTAACCTGTTAAAGACATTGCTTGATCTCAACAGCATCAAATTATATATCCTCTTCACTTTCAATTTCAGCTGGTGTACCCCAAGTTTTTATTCTTGTACATTTACTCTTTTCCATGTCCCTAAATTATCTTTCATTAGTTCTTAATTTCTCCCAATTTCATCTGTATGCTGATGCCACTCAGCTTTACATTCATTGTCCTATAAGCAACATCTCTGCAACTCTGCTCAACCATTTTCTTTTCTCAATCAATGGTCATGTTTTAAATCAAGGTTTAAATCCTAATAAATACCACTCCTTATTAATCTTCAAAAGAAAACATTAATGCATATTGCATATCCCCTCCTCATAATCAATTTTTGTCCTAAATTGAATAATCTCAGCATTATTTTTAACTCCAAGGTTACATGGCATGACTGTGTGAACTCTATTATTAAAGAGGCTCTAGCCTCTATTCACTTCAATGCCTTAACTCTTTCACTCCACAGAAAACTAGAGTTTCATAATAATTTCTTTATTCTCTGACTGCTGTGCTATTTTTTCACATTCTTTAGGCTCTCGATCTGTTCATCGCCTTCAAATTGTTTATCATCCTGTGTTAGATACTGTTATGATTTTAAACCAAAAGATAATATTTCTTCCTATTTCAGCAGTCATAATATTCCTAAAATCACTTATAAACTTAGTTTTAATATACATATGTAAAATTAAATCAAACAAATGTTTTTTTTTTGTTTTTTTTGCTTGGGGTGTCCGCATTACCCAAGTCCCTCAAATGTCCTCTCTATTAACTTTTTCCCACATTCCTTATACAAGCAGATCAATCATATCCCCAGCCTTCAACACTCCTCTAAAACTTTACACTTATTCTATAGAATTGCAAGGGCTAGACTATAGGATTTGCTTCCTGAGGAAATACATTCTGCTTTCTCACTTGCTTGTTTCAGGTTTATGGCATCTGAGCTTTTAAAACAACTTGAATTATCTCCTTTTCTTCCTCTTCCTTTTCTTTTTCTAACACCAATTCCAATGGACCAATCATATCCTCCACCTACAACACACCTCTATAACTTTAGCCTTACACTTCAGAAGTGCAAGGGCAAGACCATGTTATTTACTTGCCCAGAAAGTACGTTCTGCTTTCTTAATGTTTCAGGTCCATGGCATCTGAATTTTTAAAAACAATGTGAATCATCTTCTTTTCTTCCCTCCATTTCTTTTCCTTTTATCTTCTTTCTCTTTTGATTTTTTCTTATCTTCTCTTTTATCATATGATTATAATTAAATTTTTGTCATTATTGTTTTGTATATTTTATTATAGGTTTTATTAATATTACAATTAATATTATTTTACTATGTGTATAAAACTAAATTTATTTCTAAGATATGTAGATATGCCCTACTTGTACTTCTAAAATAGATAAATAAAAATAAGAACAGTATCTTGTGATCAATAAATATAAATTTATTTTTAGACACTGATGACTGTAATTCAAATCCTTGTCAGCACAATGGCACATGTGTCGACTTGACTGCTGATTTCCAATGTGAATGTAAAAGTGGCTGGAAAGGAAAAACATGTTCTCTTCGTCATGGCCATTGTGACTTTTCGACTTGCCTCAATGGTGGGACATGCCAAGATTTAGGTCACACGTTTCTCTGCCGGTGCCCACCTTTTTGGGATGGCTCTGTTTGTCATTTAGGTATAATGAATAATCCTAAATGTTTATTTTAAATTCTAAATGATGTAATTACATTAGAAATCAATCTTACAGCAAAAATCAATGTTTGTAAATCAAATCCGTGTGAAAACGGTGGCACGTGTGTTAATACTGGCACTACATATACATGCATTTGTCAAGAGGGCTATGAAGGTGCGCATTGCGAAAGAGATATTAATGACTGCCTCTCTTCTCCTTGTTATAATGGTGGGAAATGTACTGATGGAATTAATTGGTTTCTTTGTGACTGTGCTCCCGGCTTTGCTGGCCCAGATTGTCGAATAAATATTAATGACTGTGCTTCAAATCCTTGTGGAGCTGGAGCTACTTGTGTTGACAACATTGCAAGTTTTACATGTCTCTGTCCACCTGGAAAAACAGGACCGTTATGTCTTCAAGGTGAGTTGAAATTGTTTCTCTGTATATTATTCCTTTATTAGCCTTCAGTAATAATTCTTATAAGGTATTACCTGCAAAGAATTATTCCTATACAAATTTCATTTATTGATTAATTATTATTTTTAGTTGAAGAAATTGTCTTCTCAAGTGGTGTGTGTGAGTGGATGGGTCAGTACCTAAGTAACAATTCAGTATGGCAGGAAAACTGCAATCAGTGTCACTGCATTGACAATATTGTAACATGTACTCAAGTATGGTGTGGTTTAAACAATTGTCTCCAACAAACAAATGCCTGTGGCCATAATCAAGTATGCGTAACAATAATAATATAAAATTTTGTGTTTATTTACGAGTATTTTATGAATTGAATTTTTTAGGTTTGTGTGCCTTGGGGACGTGAAGGTTGTTTGTCGACTGGATGCGAAGGCTGGGGAGAGTGCAGGGAATTAATTAGCGGAAAGTTAGTCGGACCTCCACAAGTACCGTCTCCTGAAACATGCTGGCCGAATCAGGCTGTCCTAAGCAATAGTTGTGCTTTATTATATTTGACTTTTATGACTCATTCACTCCGCCCAGGAATCAGTACAGAGACTGTGTGTAAAGAGCTCAGATCTCTTTTAGCGACGACTCATGCAGCACTTCACAGCATAATAGTTCTATGTGAAATAAAGACAGGATCAAATGACACCGTGGAAGTTACTATGGTATGTAATTTTAAACAGGTAACGTTTGATTGTTTCAACAGTTTTTTAAATGTTTAGTGGAGTGGAGAAACCAGTGGAGAAGGTGTTAAAGAGGCTGTACGCGTTATCGGCGAACTTGTAAGCCATAAGCAAACGAATGCAAATTCTGTATTATCTTTTGCATTAGAGGTTAAAGTTGAAACAGCACTTATTTCTCAACGCGATGATGGTATGTATTTAATACATACTATAGTGGTATTAGGACTAATTTGATCTTGGTTTTTACAGATGAAAGCACTACATTCTGGAATAGTTCATCTACATTGATTCTAATACCAAGTTTCATTATCATTGCTCTTATTGCAATGCTTTTCTACTGGTTTAAAATGAAACCCCAAGCGGCAGTGAACAACACTTGCAGAAGGAGCCATGAAGATGAGAAATCGAATAATATCCAAAACGAGGAGAATTTCAGAAGATATACAAACCCTTTGAAAGAAGACATCAGCGGGAATACTGTGGACGGGTCGTCACGGGTCAGCGTTGTCCGGCCTCTTTCAACTTTATCGAGCGAAGGTTTGGAGTTGACTTGCGAAGAAGAAAAACCAGGTCCAAGTCAAGTTCTCCTTTTTAAAAACCAAAACACCTGCCCTGAAAACGATTTGCATAAAGACATCGATTGTGTGAGAAAAAATTTAACTGTGGTGCCTTTAGTTCAAAGGACGTACAAAGATGAAAACCAAGTTCCCAGTGATGTGTTTACAGTGCTTGTTTGATTTTAAAAAAATTAATATTTTTTTAAAAGTGCTAGAACTTTTATTATGAGCTATGAATCACTTGCCACTTCCATCTAACATCAAGCATTTCTAATTTTGAATGGTAAATAATTATTGATATAAACTTACATCGTTTTAATGTTGTTACAAACCAATTTTAGAATCTATTTGATTCATGTGATATAATGTTTTTAAGGTAACCAACTGTACAAGAGAAAAGTCTGTAGATAAAAAAGTGTAGTGTAAATATTAAGTATAAAATTTTAATATCTTTGTTTGATTGTTTTTCTCTATCAGCAATTTATTTAATGATTTTTCTTTTTTTCTGATGAGAAAATTGTGATATAGAAATGAATAAAGTAAACTCTTTGTGTAAATATTACATTTAATTTTAGATTTTAAAAAATAGAAGTAAATCTGCAAATTTTAAGAGAGTATTGCTTTCTTTTTTTTCAGTATTTAATTATAAAAAGTTTTAATTTTTGTTTATACTATAATTTATTATCGATTTATTTAAATTAAAGAAAAAATGGAATGGCGCATAGTTATAGAATAATATATACTTTTTACATAATGATTGATGACATTTTGCTCCCTCTTTTCGAATTGCACATCATCTCATATGATAATATGATTATTCAAAACTGTTAATGTAGAAATAAATCAAAAAGGTGATAGGCAATATCTTGACAGTTGTATTGTGTTGTAAATAAAGTATTTGTTATGTAATTTTTACAGTATTTAATGTTATCTATATTTTACACCTGTCATAATGTTAACTATGAGTCGGTGGTGTGGTGAACCAAGACATTGCACGCTAAGGCCATCAGGCTATTAAGTGGCACTGAAAGACAAGCTTACTTCAGAGTATTGGATGCCAGCCATCGGTTCAACGCCAATCTTAGACATAGAGGTGTTATTAAACCTTGCACTGCTCCATATTCTAATCCGAAGAGAAACCAGAGCAGCAGCTCACAGGATCACAAATAGACAACCCTCTACAAGGAGAGGTCATGTGATGAACAATGAAACTGAGGGAGGAGACTAGGCAGATGCCATAATAGGTATGCCAATTGATTCCATTACACCAAAATATAACTTAACCAACAAGTACAAGGAGTCCTTGAGATAAATCTGTAGACTGAACTGACATTAGACTTAGTAAATATGCTACAGTTTTCCTGTCTGAAATCATAACAACTGAACACTGCTAGAGAAATAAAAAGGCTAGGAACACATTCCAGGAAGATAGCCCTTTTTGGACCAGAGGATGTGCAAGATTATAAGACCAGAATTTATACTTGGGCTCCTCCATCTCAGAATGCACGCAAAAAACAAAATTAGTAGAGGAAAAACTCCACAAGTGCCAGACAGAAGGTTAAAAAAAAACCTTGCCAAAATTGGTAAACATTTACAGTTAAACAAGGCAAACTCAGGGCTTTATATCGGATAATGGCATCTGAGAATACAAAAAATGGTCAATGACGGACCCCATTTGTTGGGTATGAAAAGTAGAGGAAGAAACTGTCACATTATCTTTGAATGTGAAGTGACTGCTCGATGAAGACATTGATGACCTAGGGAACTAAGAAGACCCATGAAAAAGAATTGCAATAATGACCTACTACTTCTTAGGAGAAAGATCAAGTCAATGAATTGAACAAAAGAACTACAAAAATAACAATAGGAGAAAGGATACATGCTTACAGACTATGGTGCTACTTCTTCTGCAGCAGTAACTGGGTCAAATAATCAAATTTTGTGAGAAATTGGGACTCAATCAATGCAGACCATAACTAACGAAGTATCTATCCTGGGAGAAAGAATTGCAGCAATGACAGTCGATGACCACCTTCTTGAAAGGAAAACAAAGACAGCTGAACTGAGCCAAGCTAAGCCAGCTGAAGCCACAAGACTAGAGTGCTTTGTAAACACCAAACCACAACTTGCTAGTATCCACACCATCCTATACTAACATGGTATGTGTGTAGATTCTGCAAAGAGGACATCTTAACTTACTTGCTGGCAGATTAAGGCACTACACTCTCTGCAGCCTAATTCGCTAACAAATTGAGACTCACTGGTGTACAATAAGTAAAGAACAAGCCGAGGAATGTAGCGCTTAAAAAGTGCAGTATAACATGATTCAAGTAATCTTTATCCACCATGGAATAAAGAATTACAGCAGTAACATTGAATGAATGACCTACTTCTTAAAAATAGAGCAAATTTAACTGAACTAAGGAGCAGGAACTACAAGCACAAAACGCCAAGACTGCAGTGCTTGGTGAATACCAAACCCCAACTTGCTAGTATCCTCACCATCCCGTCCAACCCTAATGGTGTGTGTAAATTCTGCAGAGTTGGAGGACACCACAACTCACTTGCTGTCCTTCTTTGGAACTACATTCTCTACAGGTCGTACAAGGACCGGGTCAGACAAAACAATTCCTTGAAAAACTGGTACTATCAACCGAAGATAAAGAATTACAGCAAAAACACCCGATGACCCTGAAAGGAAGATGGTTGAACTGAACTAAGAAGCTATTTGAAATGTTCAAATATTGGTGAAATTTTATTGGCTTTATTTGTTAATTAGGAAGAGACACGATGAACGCGCTGCAGACTATGAGGGTTATCTTTTAAAAATTGAGTTAAAAGGAGGACCTCATTACTGTAAGGAACTAGCATGGTGTCAGTTCAGATTCGCGGATTGTTTTGTGATTGCCTTCTTCCTCTGTCAAATTAACTGTTGGAAAAAATAAAAGTGGATAGAAGGTCAATTGGTCATTCAAGTCTGCTTTACCCGTGGCTCCCATGCCCCCCATGCTTCCAGGTGGTAGGACTTTTCCTTGAGGGTCCGTTATCAAAAAAGCGATATCAGATTGTTTACTTCTAAATGTAACCACGTGGTTGTGTTGTGGCTAGCCAGGGCAGACGAAACAAACAAAGCTTTGATCATAGTCGCCCGCCCGGCCGTCGTCACCCCTCTATCGACTTTTTTGATCCAGGGCGATAGTCGGCGGAAGTTCGAGCTTTTGATAACAAACCTCGACGGGACGGACAAGGAGAAAAGGTGACCGAATCTATTTGATTACATACGCCCTTTTTTTTTTTTTTAGCGTGAACTAAGCCTTTTTCTCGGTTTGTTAGCGCGCCAGGTACAATGGACGGGCAGACTGAGAGCCAATACGAATCGTGAGTGCATTTTCGTTTCACCCAATTTTACTCCCAATTTTGGAAGAAAAAAAAACTCGCGTCTGCGATTCTGTTTTGTTTTGGCGAGTGCTCGGTTTTCTTTTTTTTTTTTTTAATTTGCTGAAGGTTATGCCAACTTATCGTGAATTTCCGTTCCTGTTTGGTACCTTCGATAATACTCTGGAAAAGTGATTGAACGATTTCTTCCGCCAATTTTCCTCAACCCGAGTCAATTCTAACTACAACGAAAATAAATTAACCACGTTGTTTCCAGGTATAATTTTAAAAAAGAACTGTACTGATTGAACCTCCAACAAATTGGCACAATTTTTAACTAATTCGTTCCATTTACACCTACTGACAATCATAATCGTTTCGTCAATCTTTGCCATGTTTTATTTTTGGAGTTTGTTGTAAATTTAATTTTATCCTGGCCCAAACCATATTAGCAACAACTCTGGAACAAATTACTTATAATTGTCTCAATACTTTATTTGTTAGATTGTGAGCTTTCTTGTTGAGACCTGGCCAGGGTTGAACTTGTAGTTCACTAATTTCTAATCATTCTGTTCACGCTATATTCTCTGGTTTTGTCTGTCAGGATAAAGCATTGGTTACTTTTTGCTTTTAGGTTTCTTCCTAGAAAATATTTCAATTATTTATTCAATTGTGAGCTTTCTTGTTGAGGGCTGATGTTCAACTTCTTTGGCTTGAACTTCTGGCCTTGAACTCGGTTCAGTCATTACCGATCATCCTTGTTTGTTTTTTTATTGCAGATTTAGGATTTCTTCTGTCTTTCTTACCTGATTTTTACTTCAATTACAAAAGAAAAAAAAACTAAAGAAAAATCACAGAAAAACAGAATAAATTCAAAATTGCAGACCAAAACAGCAAGGAAAGTGAACAAGTTGATCAGAAATGACAACTAGTTCAACACAGTCAAGACCTCAAATGAAGTCATTCCAATCATCCTGATCCACCTATCTTTGCTTTTTATGTCTACCAGTTTTGCTTTAATTCAGTGATTCAAGTAAAATACACTGAATTTGGCAAATTCCAACATGCGAGGATGATCAGTATCTAGTATCAAATTCATTTTTTTACTTTATGTTATTCTGATAAGTTTTCTTGTTGAGGTTTGGATGGTAAACTTGTAGTTGGATTGCTTTCGATCATCCTAGTCTACTTTATTGTGGATTTTCAAGCTCCACCATTTCACCCTCCTTCAATGGTGTTTTTAGTTATTATTTACTCCCAAATTTATTTAAAATATCTTGATAGAAAAGGATTGAGCAGTTATGATTACTTTATATATTTTGAATTTTTTCCCTTACCGTTTTGCCATAGCCAATGTAAATTTTTTTAAATGAAAATATTTGGCAATAGAATTACTAGAATGATCAACTACTATTAATGACCTTTATGATTTAGCTAAGTGTTTGTATTCTAGTTATGGTAGGATTTTGTCTGCAGGCAAAATGCCGAAACTTGTTTGGCAGTCCAAAACAAGGATAGTCAGACCTTGGTGATCAAAATGACCACACTATAAATTATCCCTATATGTATTTAGTAGTCATAATTTACCATATTAATTGTTTAAATTAATTTCAATAATTTCGTGGTCCGCTTGACCAATTAATACTTTACAATTAATTAAGGTTTTTAATCGAGATGAAAAAAAGTTAATGGCACGAGAGGGATTCGAACCCACGGCCTTCGGCTAGATACGCCGCTGCTCTACCACCTGATCTATCGTGACCTCGATCCACTCGGACATCAACTCCCCATCTCAACCCCACCTTATGAGTTTTCCCTCCTTTTGCCATTTTTCAAATGTTGTGTAATCGGTTTGGATTCTGTGATTAGTGAATTTAATGAATTAAATTGATGTACACTTCACTAAAGCTCTCCGTCGCCATTTCAATTGTCGTCGAGAATCCAAACCGATTACACGACATTTGAAAAATGGCAAAAGGAGGGAAAACTCATAAGGTGGGGTTGAGATGGGGAGTTGATGTCCGAGTGGATCGAGGTCACGATAGCTCAGGTGGTAGAGCAGCGGCGTATCTAGCCGAAGGTCGTGGGTTCGAATCCCTCTCGTGCCATTAACTTTTTTTCATCTCGACTAAAAACCTTAATTAATTGTAAAGTTTAAATTAATTGTACTTTTTATCTAAGGTCTTGGTTAAGATGAAAAAATCACAAGTGGGAGTTTCACCTAAGACCTTTGGCCGTTGTGGCCATAGCCGAAGGTCGTGGGTTCAAATCTTGCTCATGACACTAGCTTTTTAATTTCAACCAAGACCTTTGATAAGAAGCCTAATTAATTTAAATATTTACTACAAATTATTGATTAATTATTTACCTAATGAAAAGTAATGATGCCCCTTATGAATGTGTTATCTTTTCTTTTCATCCTATTCATTTTATTTGAATCACTTTATTTGGTTAATATTACAGTGGGAATGAAGTGAAAAAAAAGTGAATTTATTCCAACAAAATTGTTTATTTTTGCATTATCTTGATTTTTGTTGTTTTTCAGTGGTTTCTCTTCTTCGAGCGAAGAAGAGGACAACTCTCACCTAAAAGAGATATTACAAGATGCAGTTGTTGAAAACATGTTCAACAGTCAGTCCAATTCACAAAAAATGGGTAAGGAAAACTAATTACATTGTGCTTTCAATAATTATGTAATTGTTTAATGTTTCACTGTAAAACAAAAATTTAAATTATAAATAGGTCTCTCCAAACTTAAGGGACGACAATACAATCTATTCATGAAAATCAAACAATGAAGTGCTACTACTACTGATTTAGATGCATAGTGTAGAACTGTGTGGAACGGCTAAATCTTCCAACATTCAATGTCTCTAATCCTTTCAATCTCAAGTCCTTAGATCCATTGTAAATGAGAATTATGTCCACAACGACAAAATCACATTTATCCCAAAATTTACCGTGTTCCACAGGAAGACTCTTTCAAACAATGCAGGTTGATTGGTTGATTCAACTAGTTGCCTGGTTGACTCTCAAGGCTTTTCTTGGCTGGTTCCATACGAGGCAAGTTAGATATAACACACAATAATGAAAGAAACATAACGTACTGAACAGTTATAAAGTTTTATACAACATGGATTATTACTTTTTAGCCATCGGACAGTTGGGCGGTTAATTAAATAAAAAATTGAATACAAATGAAGCACTTAACTAAACATTTCTGAACTCGTACCTATAGACATTGAGATTTTTCACCATTAGTTTAGAAAATCAAGCAGCTGAGACCTGGAAAATGCTCTATTGCCTCTATATAGGATTTGAAACTCTGACAATGTGGGACATTGGGCAACAAAATGAAAACTATCCTCTTTTACTCTTAGGTTATTCACATGCAATTTCCAACGCCTTCCATTCGTGGCACAGAATTTAAAAATACTTATTTGCACCTAAGTTTAAGTAGCCATTGTAGAGCAGGGAGTTTCAGAGAGATAGCTTTTTGAGCATTAAAGTTAAATGTTACCTTAGAATGGTCTAGGTCCATCGTTAAAAAGAAGATACCTGTTTGAGAACTGTGTACGATGTTCATAATTCATGATGTTGATCACCTAATTTACTCAAAAGTTCCACAGTATATTTGGGCCAACTCGAGAAATTTTCTTAAAGAAAGGTAAAATTACTACCAGAATTAAAAGCTAGTGAATTCCAATGATAAAGACAAGCGCAATTAGATTTAATAATCTTGGGAGCAATAATTTTAGTATTTCGAGAAACAGAGCCTTTAATTTCCTTGAGAATAAATGAGAAGTGCAAGCTAAGTGTAAGAAGAGAAATACTAACTACTGCTATCTGAATATATAACATTTAGTTTGGTGTGGAGTCAGGCAATGAAAAAATCTTTCTAATAAAAAACATTGAACTCTTTTGATGTCATCTCGATGCTGAAACCCCCACAACTGTCATGCTTAGCATAAAATGAATGACACACTGAATTAAATAATTTAAACTTCAAAAACAGGGATTAACTTCTGGACAAAAACTCATACCATATTCTATTCAAGGCAACTTTCAACAATTAAGCTTTACGTTTCAGATTAGTGGTTAAAGAGAGTCTGAAAGTTAGGACAACACCATGATTTTTATATTAGTTTGCTACTTCAACTCTATCCCTTTGGAAAAACCAGTGCTCGGCCTTGGCAGGCCTGCCTCCTCTTCTAAATACCATTATCTTTGATTTAGTTAAGTTAACAGTGCAATTCCACTGATCACAATATGATTCCAGGAGACTAATATCTTAACCAGGCAAGTTGTATCAACTTTTCTTCCCCATGGGAGTTGTGTAAGTTATCGAGTATGATGTTAGAACCTGAGGAAGCAGGACCACATCTTGTGCTTTCACTTCTGCATGAAGAGAAGCAAAAAGGAGGAAACTCAGTCGAAGAAAAGTGGGATCTCTGATGTGTTGTTATAGGCAAATAGGTGCTTTCTCGCAACTACTGCCCACTTCCCTTAATATCGTTGCTGTCCCATCACTCAGGACTAATATGAATTTCTTCAAAGAGCTGTTTCACATTGAAACTTGCAAAGGCATCACTTTCCATGTTAAATTCAATTACTCAACTAGGCAACTGGTGTGAAGTACGAATGCCTAGTTGTGTCATTTATGTTCAGTAAACCGGGGGGATGTTTGGACTCCTTGACTCCCATCTATTCAATTAGTTGAATCAACAAAAAGGGTTAGAGTTAGTTTCTCGGCTTGTCACAGAACCCATAATCATGGGTTCAGTTCCCAGGAATTTCTGACACCATACCATAGAAAAAGAGAGAGAGAGAGAGGAGACAGAGACAAAAGAAAATTTAGTATCATTTTTAAACCAAAAATATAAAAAATACAAGTTACTGAACAGAAAGTAAGCTTAAGTTAATTATGAACATTAATTTTCTTTTAGGTTCCATTCAAAAGGAAGAGAGGGTTAAGGTGGTTGAGAATAAAAACATCGATACCTATTTGGCTCATGTTTTGACTGAACGTTTAGAAAGGTAAATAAAAATATAATGTACAATCTTATTATTGATTTTCCATTGGATATTTATTGATATAAGGAACACAAAAAAAATGGTTTAAAATTTATTCCAGATACTTGTTTATTCCGGAGGTTTTGTTTTTCTTTAATTTTACTGTCAAATGAAACTTAATTCTTTAAAAATAAAACACCTGATTCCTTTTGTTTTAACTGTGCGATATGCTTATCATTTGTCTTAACAAAGAAAAGCTTGAAATCAATTCACAATTGATTAAAATTTAATCTTTTTCTTACAATCTATTATCGATATTGTTATCTTAAGACAATGAGACATTAATAGTAAACATTTCACGGACATTTTTAGCAGTTAATGATAATTTTAGTTTTCAGTTTTAATTCAGTAATAATCTATATTCTTATTTGTTAAACTGTTTAAAATTACATCTAAGATTTTGACTTTTTAAAAGATTCAAACTTTATATTTAGTTTTTGTTTGGTTGACTGCTGCTTCAGAGTGAGGTGTAGCAGCAGAAGTCAGACAGATACTAGCCGGCGTCCCATAAGGGAGCATTCTCGGTCCCATCCTTTGTATCATTTATACAGTTGACCTACCTTCACACCCCAATACCATCATCACCATCTATGCAGACGTTAACACAATTTTGTAAATTTGGATAAAATCCAGAAAAGTTATGAATTTTTAAGTAGAAAACTGGACATTGGAAAACAAAAATTTGTCCCGGTCTAATCCAGCCCAAAAAATGTCCATTTTTAGTTTACAATAAAAAAATTGCATTTGTGAGCTTTAAAGGGTGGCTTAAAATGAATCCGAATTGTTTTTTCTAAAAACAATTTTTTAAAACCTATTTTATTGACAATGTCTTATGGTTTTTGCAATTTTTTATTGGGTTCTCTAGAAAATAATGACGTTTTTCATGTTTTCTTTCCATTACCTTTCTAAATAACTGTTTACATTTAATGGATTATTCTGTTGTACAAATATCAACATGTTTTAATTTTCTCCCAAACAAAAATGTTTATTTACCTCAGTAGCATTTCATTACTGGGGAATAATCAAGTTTTTAAATGTTACCTAATTAGCTAACTAGAATTTTTTTACTTGGGAATAATTCAATCTTTACTAAGATGTCAACTGTGTGATTTTTGTGTAATTTTGTTTTGCAAGTTTAAACTCGGTTGGAACGGAGGCCAGACAGCCAGAAACATTAATAAAGTCAGGGGCGATGGCAGTGTGAGTGAGGGCACCATTCAGAGATGGTTTAGAAAATTTTGAGAGGGAAACTTGAGCCTTGGAAGACAAGGTCGTGGAAGGATTTCTTCCCTAAATGAAGATGTTCTGCAAACTTTGGTAGAAGAAAATCCGAGAATAACAGTTTGAGAACTTGCAGAAAATGTTTCGGTTAGCAAATAGACCATCGCTGACCACTTTCAGGCAATTGGAAAGGTGAAAAGCTCGAAAGTTAGGTTCTTATATTAAATTACTACCAAAAAAATCATTGTTATGAAGTTGCACAACACTTCTTTGCCGAAACAGAAACAAACTTTTTTTTGTATAGAATTGTTACTACTATAACAGCAGATGCTTTGGACAGTGGACCCGTCAAGGGAGAAGCAACCCTACATTTTCCAAAGCCTCCAACCCATCAAATGCACCAGAAATTGGCATTATTAAAGCCATGAAAAGGCCATGTTATATGTCTGACATGTGACAACATAAAAAATGTTGGAACTTAGCTATGTGATTCTGTCTCACCCTCCCTATTCTCCAGACCTCTCACCTACCGACTACCATTTTTTCAGACACCTGGACAACGCTTTACAACATAAAAATTTATTGATCGAAAGTCATTAGAAAATGCTTTTACAGAAATTATTAATAATAAAGACTCAAAATTCTATTCAGAGGGTATAGAGAAGTTGCCATCATGTTGGGAGAAGTGTTTGAGAGTGATGAACAGTATTTTAATTAAGAAAAAATGTTTTAAATCATTTATTTAATCTTTTTTGCTATAACCATAAACCTGCATTATTTTCCGGATAACCCAATATATATTTAAACTCATTTCATATGATCCTGCATATTATTTTTAGATTTTAACAATCTACAGTAAACTTTAAGAGATTTCTAGAACTCTATAAATTAAACTTAATGGCACAAAATTTGTTTAGGTGAAAAAATTAGAACTGGAGATATAAAATAACACATTTGAGAGGTTATTTTGTTTTCAGATTTATTTTGCTTACTTATAAAGACATAAAACATTCTTAATTCAATGAGAATTGAATCCTGATTACACGGCATTTGAAAATATGGCAAAAAGTGGGCGAGATGGGGAGTTGGTGTCCAAAAGGGTCAAAGTCACAATAGCTCAAGTGGTTAGAGCAGCTGCGTATTGAGCCGAAGTTTGTGGGTTTAAATCCCGCTCATGACACTAATTTTTCATCTTAACCAAAAACCTTAGGTAAAAAGAATAATTAATTTGAATAATTAATATGGTCAATTATGAACACTAAACAATTATGGATTAAGTTATTACAACTGTTAGTAAGCTGAATATTTCTTCTTTCAGCCAATATTAGCGTATAATTATATAATAATTTATAATTATTTAATGTAAGTAAATGTGAGAAAAATAAGGAAGGAATCAACAAGCACTCTTCAAACGAATCATTTTATATTTCTGGTTCTGATTTATGTATGTAGACCAAGTTTATTCCATTATGTGTTTTTTAAGATGTTAAAGCCATGTAAAGTTTCCAGTGCATCCGTGCAGTCATATCAAAGTTATCACTGTTTTGTAATTTTCGAAAAAATCAGAAGCATTCAGACGGCAAGAAATGTAAGGAATAAAAATAATTTCAATTTTCACAAAAATTTGTATTCCGATTTTTTTTTTAATGAAAAAATGAGTATGACGTTTCATGCTTAATATATATATCTTTGCTTATTTGCTCAGTCAATTTTTTTTTTTTTTTTTACTATGGTGTTCTACATAAAAATTCATTACATAAAAATTCAACTCCTCTGGATTTTATCTAATGGACAGGGTCCCATTACAACAGTTGGAAAGCTGAATGTTTCTACTTTCAGCCTTATGACAACAATTGTTTTGTTTTTATGTTATTATAAGTGAAAAAAATAATGGTGACTTACCAGACATTTTATGTTTTACCTCTAGTTCTAATTTACATATGAAGATCAGGTTTGCCCATTATCTATAGTTTATAAGGTTCTAAACTTTATATGGGTTTAGTGAAATTACTTAGTCGTTTCAAAGCTATCCTAATTTTTATGGTTATTGAGAAAAAAAATTGAATTTATTTATTTATTTTTTTTACTTTGCATAATAATTTGTATTCAGGGTTTTTGAGGGTGTTAAAATCAAATATCAACATGGTTTCTTGCTTTAAAAAAAAAAAAAAAAAAAAAAAAAAAAAAAAAAAAAAAAAAAAATGGCCATTTGGAAGGGCAAAAATTTGAAGAAAATATTTTTATTTTTTTATTTTACCAAAAATTTATCTACTTTTTCCTCGGTAAAAACAATTTTAGCCTACTTTGCTATGTTGCTTGGTCTAAAATTATTTATTTCGTTATCTACGATACACATGCTAATATAATTATGCAATTTTGACATAGTGACCGGGCTTAATAGCAACAGCCTAGGAAAAAAGAAAGGGCCCATTGACAAGAATGCTGTGTAATATTTTTTGACCAAGTCTCACCAATTATTAAAGATGGTTTCATTCACAGTAAAATTTATTGTTCTATCATTTAAAAAAAAAGTGAAAATACAAGGAATATTCTATCAATGTTTTAGGGAGATTGACATTGTTCACAAACCAAACACTTCAGGTTGTGTCTTCGAAAAATCTCATAATATGAATTTGGTTCGAAACAAATCAGACATACAACTTCTGAGCACATCTGAAGCGCCTTTACTTATTGACGATACGGATGAAGACGTCCTCATTGTTGACACTGATTGTGAGAAACAACCTGAAAAACCGAAAAGACCACTCAGCAAGAAGAAGAAAAGGGAGTTGGAGAACCAAGCAAAGGAAGCTGCTGTTACGTCTGAGTGGGTTTGTGATCAATCATACACGAGCCATTGGGTGGATTCGAAAAAACCAAAGATCATGAAGCTGAAACTAATCAGGAAACACAAAGATGGAAAACTTGAGTGTGCTTCAAAATAAATACTTTTTATATTTTATTATGGTTTATTCTAAATCTGTTTGACAGTAATATAAAATCAAGTATTCAGTTTTTTTTGTTTTTTTTTTGTGTAAACTTTCATGTAACATTATCAATTACGATGTTACTATTTTGCATGATTATGTGAGAACACATATTTTCATATTACTTGATCTCAATTATTTTTTGTTTTGTTAATTTTGAATATGAATTTATTATAAAAGCTGTCTACATTAAGTTACAGATTGCTCTCTATTATTTAAGAAGTACAAATATTTTATTTTGTTGTTAATAGAAATGATAATAGTTTTCACATGAATTTTTTTTTTCTATGTTCTGAAGTTTGATTGAACAATCTTACTCATCAAAACGACCTTATTCACTGCTTAGTCAAGTTTACATGACCAGCCAGCCGTGTAACTAACCTGTAATTTGTCATTACAATTTTACAATTATTTTCAGTACATTGCTAGATAAGTGATTTTTCATTTTATCTGTACTGCCCATGCCAATGGCCAACTTTGGAAATGAATATTTTCTCAGCCTTTTAAGCCACAGACCTGCGCTGTTTCATTTCGTAGAAAATTTTACACTGGACAAGATGGCTTTTTTAATTATTTTCCTAGTTTCGGGATGAAATATTCGGAAACATGTAACTTCTGTATGTAATGCCCTTTTTTACGAATTTACTTCAAATTGCAAAATTGGAGAGAGACTGATTGAAATTCTTTTCCATGAGCACGTAAAAAACCACGTTTTTTTGCACAAACATCAAGAATAACTCGAAAATGATTGAGAAAGTTGGCACATAGGAAGGTGATCAATTGGACAATTTCCTGGCTCCACAGCTCAATTTTAAGTTTTTGTAAAAAGTGCAAAAATTAACAAGTTCACAAATTTTTGAATTTATTGATGAATGACTGAAGGTAGGAAAACATTTTAAAAAAACCATCTTGTTCAATGTAAAATTTTCAAAAAAATGAGAATGCAGGTCTGTGGCTTAAAAGGCTGAGAAAATATGCATTTCCAAAGTTGGCAATTTTGCATGCAAAAACCAGATGGTAAGATTTTTTTGTATGGGCAATGTATGTATTCAGATAAATGCATAGCAGCAACAAAATATTGCCCATATGTATAATATTTTTCATTGTCTTTCATAATTTCAACATCATTAGTTAAGTAACAGTAATGATAAACCTATTAAGAAAAGTGCATGGCTCTTTTACTTATATGAGTGAAGATCTTAAAACTTTACACTTGTAGGATTCTTGGAAAAAAATTAAATCATGGATATATATAACCTAACCTGCCCATATACCTAATCCTAATGCTAAATAACTTAACCCTTAACTACCTAACCTAACACATTAGATATGCACTACCCGCTAATGCGAAATTGATGACATAAAAATAGTCACACTAAAAAATTTAAGTATCCAGCCCCAAAATATATCCATGTTGAAACCTAGGCAATTTTGTAAACTAAAGAAAGATTACTCGCTATTTTCTGTACTGCCGATGACACTATTAGCTTATGCCATCACTGGAGAGACCTGCCATACCTTCTAGACCAGTGTGTGATTTAAAACTTGAAGGTTTTTTGTCCAGTATTAGTTTATTGAAAAGACGTCCCTAGTTCCTTCAGGTTGATGCTTGCCAGCACACTAAAAAAATTAATAAACATTGGACTATTTGACACATCCTCTATAATTTCAAGAACTTTCACCCGCATAACCTTTTTAACCTCTCAACAATAGCCTTACCTAACCAAACCTATACTTAACCTAATCCAACCCTACATAACCTAGTGCTACTTATCCTAATATAATCTCTTAACCTAATATAAACCCATCTCTAACCCTAACCTAATTTTACATAACACAAACATTAACCTCGTCCCTACCTTAACACAATCCATAATTCTGTCCTTAACATAATTTAACTTAACCTAACAACCCTGCCCCTAACCTAACACAAACCGTAACTTAACCTAACCCTACCTTACCTAACATCTTGTCCCTAGCCTAACCTAATACATACCCTAACTGTAATTTAACCTAACCTATCCCATGCGCACTCACTGGTTTCTTGAAATTGATGATGCGAATGTGGTCACGCAAAAACAAAATTTGTGTATTCAGCTGAAAAATGATGGTTAGCAGTTCTCAGAATGAATTATCTAAAAGTTTATTTAAAAAGTCCTTTGGGTGTTCTACCAAAGTAATATTTTTCTAATGCTCGGAGAATTGGTGTATTTTCTTCATAGTTATCCTGTGCAATTAACTGTCACAGTTGTATAACTGTCATCACAATTATATAAATTATGGCATTAACTGGTTTAATAAACAAATTTGACAAATAATATAATACTGCTATCAATAGTATTATACATATCAATACTATTACTGTTGTGTGTTTAAACAGCTATAAAGAAAAAACAGTTTACAAGCTGTACAGTTTGGATGATCGCGCCTACCTCAGAATAATTGAATGTTGCAAATTTACAATGTACAGTCTTTTGACTTGAACTTATCATCCATGTTATAAGTATCTTAATAAGTATGTTTAATAAGGTGGTAATGGGTGAACTTCAAATATGACAGGTATCGTTTCTATTTGTCACATAGATTATTCTTTTGTGGAGCAAAATAGAAAACAGTGTTTTTATATGGTTTTCAATCAGTTCAATAAGGGCCTTTTTCTTGTGCTTGTAGTGAAAATTGGTGCTGTTTTTGTTTTTTCTTACTGAATTAATTATTCTTTACAAACTGTACATAACTTTATTGCCATATTTTAGATTATTTTGTGGTACCATACACTCAAGAGATATTTCTGGTGAAAAGCTTTATACCATCTGGTTTAAACTTTTTGCTTTATACATTATCTCAGATAAAATAGTATTATAATTTTAATATATTGTAAAGGTAGTGTTTTGTTAAATAATGTAATTTTAAATTCTTCCCTCCCACTCCATATGTAAAATGTATATTCAACAATCTTAAAAAATTCAGATTAAGCATTAAAAAACCCTGAAAAAACTAAACTTTATACTTTAAGTAGTCAGAACTGTGATAGCAAATTAAAAAGGATGTTAGGGTCTTGATGTGTGTTTTTTAAGAATTGATGTTCTATGTTCAGAGCAAATGAGTATACATTTTAATGGCAACATATTTTCTAACATATTAATCCTCATAAGTCCTCCTTCAATTCGAACCATTTTATTATCATAATTATTTATTTTTTGTGTTAATATTTGCTGTTTGAAATTTTACCATTATTAGTACCTGAATAGTTGCACGTAAACTAGAAATAATTAAATTTATTTAAACTGCTATAATTTTTTATTACTAAAACTATTTTGCATGTTTAATTAATACAAATGCGATTATCATTAATCAAAATTCAAATTAGTTGTGAACATTTGCTATATTTTCTTATACTGATATACTTTCTTAAACATATTTTTTTGTATGATGGGCTGTGGTTAAAAAAACAAAAAAAAACAACTGTGGTTTGAAATTTATCTATTGTAATATAATTGTTATTATAATTATGTAACAAATATATTTTAATAATAGCTCTGTTTGATTTTTGAATAATGAATATGTTTAGTGTCATTTATGTTAGAACATTATGTTAATCTGTAAAATAAATATTGTATCCATTTTTACCATACTCTTCAGGAGAATGGTAAATGTAATAATTACACAAATACCATATAATAAATAAACGTTTATTTTAATCAGGCAAATTACCACACTTTAATTACGAAGAATGAGCTGTGCGCTTTACAAATAGCAAGGTATGTCATTCAAATATTGAAATCGATGTATCAAGCATATGTTATTGACGTGTCTCTGTTATGGTGGTAATGTTTGGTGTTTTATTGTTGATTCGTAAACAAATGTTTGGTGCCAAATGTAAAAAAAAAAATTAAATTTCGATTAAGGAAAATAATAGTGCAGTTTTAATTGAAATGCATGAATCACACCCCTGCTATGTTTGCTTCTCATTCTAATGGATAAAAATATCATGTTTATAGTCATTAATTTCAATTTGCGTTTAAAATGAATTTATTTTCTGGGATTCCAAATATTAAGTATAAACATTGTCAGTTGACAACACTCCAGGAATGAAATATCATCAGGATTTGTTATATTCAAAATCATAAAAGGCTCCAGGATGCGGTTATACCAATACAAAAATCTTACAAGAGAGTCTATATTACTACTGACTGTTTTGGTTAAGTTGTCCCAGAAAACAGATAACTTTTTGCATTTTCAGAGCCTGGGAAAGATCATATAGTATAGACAAACTAACGTCCTACATCGTTGATTAACTTTGTTTCAAGATCACGTTCTTGCAAACACCTTGAAAAAATAATCCTTGGCAGATTACTTGAGTTTACTAATAAAAATACACCCTCTTGCCAATTTGGCTTCAGAAAAAAATACACTCCATTCACCCTTGCTGGAAAAAGCCGATTAGATCTAACAAGGGGATGTCTAGATAGGAGCCCGCATCGTTTAGTTTGGTGAAAAATAACGACAAGCACTTCGCACTCTGAGGAAGGTTTCGTTTCATTTCATATGGGATACCTTCGCAACCGAGGCATGAATTCCGGGCACGCTCCAACACGGCCTCTAACTCTCCGACCGTCAGCGGAGGTTTATACATTTCCTCTCTCTCCGCCGTCGAAGTCAATCCGGATTCGTTCTGTCTGGATTTTCGTTCTACGGAAGATGTCGGGGTTAGCCGTGACCCTACAGCTAAGTGCCATGCCATTCGACGCCTCGGTTACTTCCCCGTGTTCCGTACTTAGTATCGGCACCGAACTAGTGCAGCCAGAGAGAGCCCTGATCCTTCGCCAAGCCTCCCCAGTCGAAGTATGAGAGTTGATACCCTCTATCTACTTTGCTAAGGATTCCCTTTTCCTTGGGACAGTGTACGCCTCCCTGGCTTTTGTCACTTTATACATAATAAGATTATCTTTCATCGAGTGCCTTCTGAAGCGTCGAAAGGTCCGCTTCTTCTCCGCATGCGCTCGGGCGCAGTCGTCGCTCACCACGGCACGCAAGGTCTACAAGTGGACCCATAATATTTCTGTTGATTTCTCCTATGAGGGTCAGAAATGTCACTGACTCGGAGGAAAGCGGCTAGTTCGCCCACTTCAGGCTCTACCTACTTCGAACACGGTACGTCTGCCTCACGGCAGAACTCCTCACAATTATCGGGAAGTGGCCACTCAAGTGGGAGGTTCCCCAATGGATTTCACACTCCACTCTACCATTGTTGCCAGGGATGATGAGACAC